GTTAATATATATATATATATATATATATATATATATATATAACTTATTAAACCATTCTACAATTGTTGTACATTTGGATTCTTTCCTTCCTTATCCCATGGATGTATCTATTTTCTTTAAAAATCGTAAGTGACAAAGTTACTTCATGAAAGAATACAAACATTTTTAGAGATATTGTTAAACATGACCAAATTCTTTCTAGAAAAATTAAACAAATTTGTAACCCCATAAGCAATAGCTAAGAATGCACATTTTCAAGTATTGTGCTCCAGCTTCAAGTTATCATTGGTTTCCCTTCACTATTTTGATTCTAGAAAAATATTAATCACTGTTTCAGAATGCCTTTTGACTTTTAGTATGTCTTCGATTACCGGTAAAGCTAAACATTTTTCATCTGGTTCTTGATCATATATAGTCATGTATAAGAAAACTATTAATTTTCCCTTTGCATGTTGATTTTTTTCTTAACAATTTTAAATATCTTATCAGATATTAAGGACATTTTTATTTTATTTGTCAAAAAGTGAAGATTTATCTCATAACATTGTATACATTGTATACATTTATATTTTACTTTTTCTATCACCTAATTAATGATAATTTTGAACACAATAGGTAATATATGTGGTTGATAGTAATGGCTGACATATTTGTCTTATTGTCAACCTTAATGAAAATGTCTTTTCAGTGTTTCAATTTTGTAATAATGGATAATTGATTTCAGATCTATAATTTTTATCACTTAAACAAAAGAATTCTAATTAAAATAACCAAAATGCTTTCTACAGTAAATTAAGAAATAAATTGTCAACTTTACTAAATATTCTGATTTAATCATTTTATCTATTGAATTGATAAATTATGCAATAGATTCATAGACACCTAACTTTGCTTTCCTACAATAAACCTAACATAATGGTAAATAATGGTTACTTTAAAAAGTATTTAGAATTTTTGCATTTATATTCATAAATTAGATTTTTCTATATTTTTATATATAATTAAATAAATATATCTTAACATTTTAATAGGGAATCATTTATAATCATAATATGAATTTGCATTATGAGATGAATTTTAATATCTAAATTCTCAAAAAAATTTTCATTTTATATAAACACTAAAACTTACTACATTCTGCCAAATAATATTTCATATAAAGTATAAATGATTCAAGATAAGATTTTAAAGAAAGACCAGAATCCCTGAAATTCTTATTGCAACTTCCCAGAGTTCCTAACTTATGTTATATACTTTAATTATTAATGAAGAGAGTTAAAAGGATGGGAAAAAATTCTCAAAAAGTCTCCTATATATTCATAATAAAGGCCTTTTGCTATTTGCTTTTTATTAACAATGTTATAAACTATTTTAATTTTGGGACAAGAGAGAATTCCCTTGTTCTATTTTCTGTAACAAGTATTTAATATTTTAGAACAGTTTATTTGACACATTTTATAGTCATTATTATTTGTACGTGTGTGTGGTTTGGGTGAAAGTTTACAGAGCAAATTAGTTTTCCATTCAATTATTTATACACATTTTGTTTCCTAACATTAGTTGCAGTCCCCTTCATGTAATAGCGCTCTTCCAGCTTCCTCCCTGCATTCTCCATTTCCTTTTTTCCTTTTATCCTGCCGCTGCCTGCCTTCTGAGCTTTTTTTTTTTTTTTTTTTCAGTCAAATGCTGCCCTTTTGGTCTCTTATGATTGCTTATTCTAAGGAGAACATTCCTTATAAGGGCTATTGTTCACTTTCTATGCCTGTCTGTTGTTTGGCTGCAAGATGATCCCTGAGAGTGTGTCCAGTTATGGGTTTTAAATATATCTAAGCACCATAGTCTCAGGGGTTCCACCAGTCTCTATCAGACGAATAAGTCTGACCTTTCTATGACTTTGATTTTTTTTTTTTTTTTTTTTTTCCCTATTCTGTCCAAGACCTTCTATGGTCTCATTCAGAAAGGGAAGTCAGTAATGGTATTTGGGCACCCATTTACATCTTCTGGTCTCAGGGTGGTGAGGGCTGCGGTTTATGTGGTCCATTAGTCCTTTGGACTAATTGTTTCTTTGATTCTTTTATTTCTTTGCTTTTCTTTCCTCTGGATGGGGAGAGAGCAACAGCTGCATTTTAGATGGCCACTCAGTAGCCACCACAGCCACTTGCTAGCTTTTTAAGACTACAGTAGGATGTAGACTATTATCTTGTGAACTACTTATGCCTGCACAAGGCCTGTGTGGAGGAGGCCCAAATATCTAGGTGCTTTGTATAAGGAGAGATTTCTGCTCAGGATGCAGGCTGGACTCCATTTTTGTTGTTCATTCTGAGCTGACCCTCAAAAGTCACCTACTCAGAACACTTCAGGAAGCCCGTGGACCACCCATCCTTCCTGTACTTACCCTCACAAAATGTTTCCAGGAAGAGTACTTACTCAGACTTGCCCTAAAATATCCATAGATTAACAAGAAGATTCGTTTGAACTTTATGATTAAGAAAATGATGATTAAAGGATGTCATAATTGTCTGTTGTTGTTGTTGTTGTTGTTATTTGCCATCAAGTCGGCATAGCGACCCCTCCTTGGGTTTCTGAGGCAGTATCACTACACAAGTAGGATTGCCCAACCTTCCTTCGGAGGAGTGGCTGGTGGGTTTGAACCGCCAGCCTTCTGGTTAGCAGTCAAGTGCCTTAGGCACTATGCTAGCAGAGCTCCCTCATAATTGTCTAGTGACTGTCAAAGCAGGATTTTGTACATGTCAACCAATCAGATTTTTTTCTTTGTAAGTTCCTGAATTTTCTGTACTTAAACCCTGTGAAAAATTCCTCTAAGCAGAGTGTGTTAGTGAATTCTCGTTAAATGCTGCCTGAACAATGCAGGAAACATCAAAATAGATAGAAGGAATACACAGAGTCACTGTACCAAAAACAACTGGTCGACATTCAACCATTTCAGGACGTAGCATATGATCAAGAACCAACAGTATTGAAGGAAGAAGTTCAAGCTGCACTGAAGGAATTGGTAAGAGAAAAAAAAGAAAAAAAGGCTCCAGGAATTGATGAAATACTCACAGTGATGTTTCAACAACAGATGCAACACTGAAAGTGGTTACTTGTTTATGCCAAGAATTTGAAGACAGCTACCTGGCCAACCGACTGGAAGAGATCCATATTTTTGCCCATTCCAAAGAGAGGTGATCCAATAGAATGTGGAAGTTATCAAACAATGTCATTAATATTACACCAGTAAAATCTTGTTGAAAACAATTCAAAATGGTTGCAGCAATATATACACAAGGAACTCCCAGAAATTCAAGCCATTTCAGAACAGCACATAGAAAGAGGACTATCACTGCTGATGTCAGATGAATCTTAGCTGAAAGCAAAGAATACCAGAGAGATGTTTACTTGGGTTTTATTGACTATGCAGAAGCATTCAACTCCGTGGATCATAACAAATTATGGATAACATTATGAAGAATGGGAATTCCAGGACACTTAGCTGTGCTCATAAGGAATCTTTACATAGACCAAGAAGCAGTTTTTTGATTGGAATAAGGGGATACTGCATGGTTTAAAATTGTCAGGGTTGTATATTTATTC